TTTCGCAATATATGTAAAGTTTTTTATTCTAATTTATTTTCAATATTTTTTAATAAAAATATAGTTCGTACTTCATCAAAAAACAAAAAAACAAAATCTCTAAACTTTGTGCAAAACTCAGGAAAATTCAATACATTTCCATACTAATTTGCAACTTTCTAATTAGATTTTTTAGAAAAATTCTAAGTATTCGGTTTTGCCCATTCAATTTTAGTATAACAAAGTGCAAGTTTGAAGTATCTAAAAACCGCGTTGATGTTTGGCAATTTTTTTTTTTGTTGAAGGTGTTGATCATTTTCTCTATACAAAAAATAATTGTCGAGCATACTTTGTATGGAAGAACCTGAAGAATTAGTTGGGCAATAAAACTGCGTACCTAGAATTAAAAAAAAACTCTGAATAGAAAGTTGCAAATTAGTATGTAAATTTACTGCATTTGTCTGAGTTTTGCACAAAGTTTAGAGATTTACTTTTTATATTTTTTGGTGTAGGACGAACTACATTTTTATAAAAAATTGTTGAAAATAAATTAGAAAAAAAACTTTCCAGATATTGTGAAAAATTCTATGTGTCCATACTTTTGTCCGGCACTGTATGTATATTAGGGTTGCCCTTAAAAATACGAGTATCAACAACCAAATTTTTAATATGACAACCACGGTTTGAGGAAATTGAATTAAAATAAAAAATCGCAAAAATTCGACAAAACTTGTATGAATTTATATGAATAAGTTTCAATTTCATGTTAAACTTATCAGATTTATAGTAAAAATTTCCTCGAATTTTTGCGACAAAAAATTTTTATTTTTTCAACCCTTGTTAGCGACTCCAATATTTTTTTTTAATATTGAAATATTTGTGGATGTATTCCAAGATGTTGATACTTTAAGGACCACCTTAGTGCATAAATATGTATGTAATTATGTTAATTTTTTTTTATCTTTCATATAAGCTCACCTTCTGCTCACGCTTGAGGTACGCCTGTTTGTAAAAGTCGGAGAATAGGAAATAGAACATGGCCGCGTGCGCACCAATAAAGTAAGCAAAACCAATTGGATAGTTACAATCGTTTCTGAAGAATAACTGGAATGAGTGCACCATGACTAACACAAACTGAATCATCTGCAAGACAGTAAGATATTTCTTCCACCACAAATACTTTTGTACTTTGGGTCCCATGGCAGCCAACATGTAGTAGGTGTACATAATTATGTGTACAAAGGTGTTGAGGAAGCCGAAGAACGACGAATGGCCGCCGGGTGTGAATTTCACACCCCACCAAACAGAGCAGGGCATAATGCCGTGATGGATAACATGCAGCGTCGACACTTGATCGTAGCGCTTGCGCATCACAAAGAAGAAAGTGTCGAAAAATTCTGTGAATTTCGAGATGTAGTACCACCAACAGCCTCGTGCCACCTGAAGTGAATGAAAAAGGGAAACAATTTTTGAACCAAAGATATGTATATTAAAGTTATTTTGTAGTTTTTAGTTTTATTGTTCGATGTGGTTGGAAAACAATTTTGGACAAGTTATAATTCAAAGAACGAAACTTTTTTGATATGCAGTTTACAGACTATTACACCGTTAATTTTTGCCTTTTTTTTTTGATTGACAGTGCTACGCCTTTTTTCCATACAAAGTATGTTCGACAATTTTTTTGTATTGAGAAAATGAGCAACACTTTCAAGAAAAAAAAAATTTGCAAAATATCAACGTTATTTTGTAGCCGCTTAAAACTTGCACTTTATTATACGTGCATTAAAATTTAGCAGCCTATTCAAAATATCTATAAGAAATCTAATAAAAATGTTCGAAATTTTGCTGAATCTTTGTCGAATTTTGCTATTTTTTTATAAAGTTTGAAATTTTACATGATCTTTGCTAGGCGATAAGCTTTACTTTCATAGAAAAATAAACAATAAATAAACAAAGCAAAATAGCCAAAACTTGTTAAAATGTCGCATCCGCATTTATATTTTCGCCACTGTATGTACAAATTTCAGGGCGGAGAGCTAATTAAAAATATAGCTCCCTTCATATATGTAAATAAGTAGCAGAAAATTTTTTTAGGGACTCATCGATAAAACAAAAATCCGATGACCAAACTTGCGCCAAATTTTTGGTAGTGTCATCAAAAATACATATACAGTTACTCAAACAAGCATTCAGACACAACGTTTCTCAACACAAAATTTTGCTTGTTCATTTTTAATAAACAAAACCGTATAAATCAAAATTTGTAACTTATTACAACGTGCGTGCTTGAGGCCCTAAACGGCTGCTCCACTGCGTAAATAATAAAAAATTAATTTTTCAATTACTTTTTTCGGCTTCATTCTGAACTCTCCATGCGCGTAGAAATATCGCTTACAAATAAATGAGTTCCACTTATTTAACTTAATTGATGGCATAATAATATTCGCAATTTTGTTGACATTCAACGCTTACTATGTGGATGACATTTTTCATGCTTATTTACCCCATTTTAGCATAGCCACTTACATACATATGTACATATGTACGTACAAATACCAAAATTTGCTCATTGTTTGCTTATCACTAATTATTCATACTACGCTCCTTGTTAGAATAATCCTGTTCATTGGTCCAGACTTCGCTTATGAAATTTAACCAACAAAAAAAAATTAATATATGCGCATTAATTAAATTCCGGATTCTCAACACTTGCATGATTTGAGAAGTGAAAAAATTTTGGCATCAACTAAACGAAGCTTGTTTTTTTTTTGTATCAAACAAAAATCTTTATAATGGCCAACTTCTCTATGCAATCAACCATCTCTTTTTTTTATGTATGTATTTAGTATATGTAAACGCTATTTTATTTTGAAATCAAAGCTAGACACACCCTAAATCTGCGCATATTTTAACGTTGCCAGTTTTTGTTGATTTTAATGAGGTCTTTAGTTTCTTTTGTATTTTTCTGCTTTCACAGACAGCGTGACGCTAACACAAAAATACAGAAACCAAAGTTTCGTTGACTAACAGGGCAATTCTGGCTAAGATGGTTGCAAGTCTTTTGGTAAGACAATTGAAATGCAGTAGAGTGTGCAAAGTACCAGCGTTTCATTCGACAGATCCGGGGCGACTTGGCCGGTACAGTTTTTTATTTTATTTTTTGCTTTCATTAAATTTTTTTCTACTGCATTTTTTTTAATATATAGATTTTAATGCTTTAAAAATAAAAATAGTTTTTTTAATCTTATTAGTTTTTAGCAAATGATTTTATATTCCTATTCTTATTAATTTTTCTCCATCTATAGGTCATTTTTTAAAATGCGGGTCAAAAAGGCCCGTTCTGGTGGGAGTTGGTGAGTAAATCTGTTGGAAAAAGTAGACTACCCCTGTTTTCAATCTACAACCCGCAAAAAATCGTAATAACTCCGTAATTTAACATATTGGTAGATAAGATTATTAAAAAAAAATGTATAAACTAATAGCTCCATAAATTACTTCAATAACCTATCTTTTTCAATTTGTCATTTCTTTAAATTTAAATAGTACATATGGATCTGTAGAGAACATAGAGAACCATGTTTGTATGTACCTACCTCAGACCTTCTTATGTTCGCCCCATCCAACAGCGGCAGGCATTCAACATTTTTATTCGAGTAGGAAGTAACAATATTTAAATTTAAAACTAATTAAAGAACTGCCTCGCGTTTTATATATATTTATGTAGATATGATTTTTTGAAAAGGTGGCAAATCTAATTAAAATTATTTTCTAACTAAAGCTTTCATAAATCTCTTTCAATTGAACTCATGTTTTAATATTTTATATGGCTCGTATATAAGTTAACTAAATTCAGCTTTTAAAACATGTGGCAACCCTCTTCAAACTAAAATCTTCTTAAATGTCTTTCGGTTGACATTGTGATTCAACATCAATTAACTGATTAATTAACTTGAATTCGATTTCCCAAATAAGTGGCAACTCTCCTAAATATGTTAATAATTCATTTTCCCCATTATTGATCCCATATGTTAATAATTCATTTAACTTATTAAATAATTTTAATTTAAACGGGTGGCAACCCTTTTCAAATACCTATTAAATATTCTAAATGTTCACACAAAAAAAAATCGTACCACTTTTCCATATCCCACCCATATTTTGAATCTGATTTTCAAAAGATATGGCAACCGTCCTAAATATAGTTCAGAAATAAAGCCTTTTCAAACTCATTTCGAAACACTCATTCGTTTGACACCCACATTTTATTATTTCATATAACTTGTATAAATACAAGTTAACTTAATTTGACTCTTCCAAAAGGTGGAAACCCTCTTCAAAAGTATTTTCAAAGTAAAATTTCTTTTCTTTCCCCTTCGTCTGACAATGTGATACATATTTCAATTACCTGATGAATTTAGTAGAATTGGTTTTTTAAACATGTGGCAACGCCCTTAAAATTAGTACAAAAATAAAGCCTTATTAAACACACTTCGATTGATTCCCATATTGTAATAATTCATTTAACATTTAATTTTTTTTTTGGTAACCCTCTTCGTAAACCGTAAAAATATTCCAAATGTTCAAGGTAAAGATATCTTAGCATTCCTTTGTTTGTAACCCATATTAAATTTTTTTTCAAACCAATACCGGCTTAAAATTCTTTCGTCCGACACCCAAATTTCAATTACCCAATATTCTTAAGTTAAGTTGCACTTGGTTTTTAAACAGGTGGCAACCCTCTTATATGTAGTTAAGAAATAAGGCCTTTTCAATACCATTTCGATTGATACCCATATTGTAATAATAGATTTAACTTATTAAATTATTTAAATGAGATTTTTTGAAAGGTGGCAACTCTTTTCGAAAAGATAAACCCTTATTTTACATGTGCAGTCGAAGCCCTTTAATTTGACACCTGACCTTAAAAATCGAACGAACGATGTGGATTTGATTAATAATTAAAATTAAATTGCTTGACAGGTGGCAACTCCTTTCGAAAAAGTAAAACCTTATTGCACATCTACAGTCCAGGCCCATTAATTTGACTCCTTACTTTTGAAAATCGAACGAACGTTGCAGATCTGATGACCTTGACAAGTGCCTCATGGCTCTTTGGAATCTTCCTTATGGGCCGTAGCGCAGGCGTTTCCAGACGACAATTCCTTTTAAAGTAAACCTCTAATACATATAACTTATTTAACGTTACTTGCTTAAAAAAAAAACCTGGATCTTTTTCATTTTAAATTGTCCAAAATTATTTCCTCTAACTAAAGTTAAAAATTTTATCCTACCCATAAAATCATCTCCTACTTACCCTCAACGCTCCTGGGGAATATGAATAGTCCACAGGTTCACATCTGATATTATAGCCATTCAACCAACCACCAATGCAGGACTGTTAATGGCGGAACAAAAACGTTAAATATTACCAACTTGATTATATATGTAGTTAAGTTAGTTAAGTACAAATACACACACACTTACCTCATAGAATAGCCATGCGCTGAAGAGTACCTGCGCAAAATTGTAAACGATTAAGACTTTGCGCAATTCAAAAGGTTTTCTGTTTTCCATCATTTTGGGTCCAAGTACCTGCCAAAGAAATCACAAACAAAAAAAAATTAAAGAGATGACAAATAAGAAAATGCAATGCTACGAAACATAGAAA